TATATATATATATATATATATATATATTAATATATAATTACTTATATTAATATATATATATATTTTTTTTCTGATAAATAATTAGAAAATTTTCTATAATTAAATATAGAAATTAACCACATTATTTATAACATAACTGAATATAAAATTAATTGATCGTATTTTTCATTTGATGTTTTTACCATGATTAAATTAACATTTTTTTCATAATTCTATTAAAAACACGAAATATAATTTAATAAATAAATAAATAAATTTTATATATTTTTAATAAAATACAAAATTTATAAAATTATAAAATTTTAATAAAATAACAAATTTAAAAAAATTTTTAAATATATTATATTTTCTAATAATTAGAAAATTTTCTATAATTAAATATAAAAATTAACCACATAATTTACAACATAATTGAATGTAAAATTAATATTAAAATTAAATTCAAAATAAATATTTATATTAATAAATTCCATATAAATTTTTGATGGCCGCTTTAATACCTTTTTATAATATAAATATATATTTAAAAATAATATAAAAATTAAATTTTATAAATAATTAATACAACAAATTTGTATAACTAGAAAGAACTTTAAAAATTATTAAAAAAACAAAATTAGGGTCACACATACATTTCCCAATAATTAATTCAATAATTTCCTAGAACTTTATTAAACATTTCAAATAATAAAAATAATTAAATTTTGTATATATTTTCTAACCCTATCAAAATTATTTATAATATATTTAAACTATCTAATTAATTTTTATAAATAATATTTGATTAATTATTATTACATGAATCTTTATATTATTTAATTAATACCATATCCTTCGGTAAGATCAAATTAAGAAAAGCATACGTCATCATCTTCCATCAACAAACGTTGGAAAACTGCGATTTCAGGAATTTCATTAGCTCTCGATAAATTCTATGTCAAGCTATTCGCAAATTCTAACTCGCTTCATATATTTCTCGGACAATGGCCTGCGTCTTCGTTATTAATTTCTGTAGAACTGATTTCGTACCTTTATCTCTACTGTCCTCGAAACGAGAGAAATATCTATCTGACTATAATACCTTCCATAAAATATTTCTATATACATTTATATCTTCCAATTTAATGTATTTTCGTGAGAAAAATTATCTGCATTTAACAACAACAAAAATTATAATAATAATCATACGAATAGTTCAATTTTTATGTTACGATAATCGATTTAAATAAATTAATGTTTAATGATTTTTTTCTTTTTTTTGGTTAACTAAAATAAAATTGTAATGCACTTACACGAATGATTTGAAATATTTTTTATAAAGTTGCAACTTTTTTTTATGTTACGATAATCAATTTAAATTCATTAACATTGAGATTTTTTTTGTTAACCATAATAAAATTGTAATTTGATTACACGAAAGATTTATAATATTTTTGGTAAGTTGCAACTTTTGTCTCAATTGATTAACAATATTTAATAAAATTGCAACTGGATATATAATAATAATACATTTGGAAAATGTTAACTATAAAAAGAAAATTAATTTAATCCAATTTTAATTAATGTATTATTAAAAAGAAAAAATTGAAATATATTTTTTTTTCTATCATAATAATTGTGTTAAAAGTTACTACTTTTATTTTGATATATATAAAACTATGTATATGTATCTATATAGCTATGCACATCCATGTTGATATATATTTTAAATGAATAAAACTCGCGTGCACAATTGTGGTCTCACATTTGATATCTACGTGTAATTACATTTTGAATTTAGAACGAGCCATCAGAGATGTCGACGTAACCGGGCGTAGTAGCACTATGAACGTTCTTACTGAATATTCATAAACTATGTTGTATGTATTTCACTAGGTACTTTCGCAAAACACTGTTTTAAATCTTTTTTTCATTCTATTCTGATACTACCAAGGGATTTTTTTCATACATATATATATATGTTTATAGATTGAAAGAGAAATAAAAAGTCCGATTATTTCATTTGATAATAAAAATGAATAGTCAGTTATGATTAATATTTTGTTATCATGTTGTGTTTTTCATTCAAGAAAATATTTAATATTGTTATACTCTTTTGTTAAATAAAATTTGTTTGTAATTTAATTAAATAATATATAAATTTATGATGTAGTACACGTATTTTTGTACGTGTGTAAAATACCAAAATTGTACTACATATATATGAATTATAATATAAAAACTAATAATATATTAATACTTATAGTACAATCTATTATTAAGACAATGTAATTTCAGGATGAACATTTTATTTGAATAAAATATTTTGGATTTTCTCTCTTTTTCTACCGTCATAAAATGTTATATATATTATGTATTACGATGAAAAATATATTAACTAAAGAATATATACTTACTATGTATTACGTGTATAGTACTCTTAACTCTTAAAATTTAAATAATAAAAAAATGTAGAATAAGAACAAAATTTGAGATAAAAGAAAATAAAAATTCAGGATACAAAAATATATATATATATAAAAATAATAATATAAAATTAAGAAATAAATGAAGAAAAATAAGATTACAAAATATAATAAAACTTTAAACGAACAGTATTATTATTATTAAAATATAAATAAAATAAAAGTATAAAAGATATTATAGTTTCAAAATTCGTGTGCTTTGTCTGACCTAAAAGCAATGTTACTACTTACTGGTAAGGCGCTTATAGAAGTAGTACATTAGTATAGATTACATTGAGTCAGACATATAATAATAACTTAAGAAGAAAAAAATAAGAAAAAGATAAAAATTCAAATTTAGGATAATAAAATCTATAAAAAAGAAAAAGGGACCACAGTTAGGGAGATGAAGAAGAAGAAAAAAGAGGAATAAGAAGAAGGTTATAAAAATAGCTTGCTAATCACATTAGAATACATATAAGAGGGTTGAACGTTAAAATACCTAAGCCAAGATAAGACATCCTTTTTTTTTTGTGTATACGTGTATGTGGGTATATGGGAGAGAGAATAAGAATATAAATGAGAGAAAAATAAAAGGAATAAGAAGAAGAAGAAGAAGAAGAAATAGTAGAAAAGATGGTGGAGGATGACGAAAGGGGAATGGTGGTGGGAGGGGGGATTGGAAAAGATAAGGGTGAATTACCGATAAGCTCGAATCGCCATTGCGAAGTACGTGGGCGTGTTATTACCTCTATGGAATAGAATATATAATGAAAAAGGTAGCGAATATTTATCAAACGTACGTCATTTGCTTATTAAAAGATTTACGATTTTTATTCAAATTAGAATCACACGTATTGGATTTTTTTTTTTTAAATATCTAGAATTGTAAGTGAATATTAATAAAAAAAAATGAAATTAAAAAGGAAAGAAAAACAATTAACGAGAGAATGAATTTATATAATAATAATAATGATATAAATAAACGATGAAGTTTGAACAAATGTTATACATTTGCATTATATATATAAAGATGTGTGAGTGTGTATGTGTATGTGTAAAATCAAAATTGTTATCGGAAAGTGCTTTTTGTTTGAATCGAAAACGAGATTAGCCTCGAAATTCGTGTACCTTGTCTGACCTAAAAGCAATGTTTCTACTTACCGGTAGAGTGCTTGTAGTAGTGTAGCAGAGTATTGAAGTAGAATAGGCTACGTTAAGTCAGACACATGGAAATCCACTTTACAATTTAACTGAAAAGTTTGTTCTAGAAGGGGGATTTAATATTGTTAACTGTTAAGTTGATTTTGTAGTCGAATGGATTTATTTTTTTTTTTTTTCAAATCCTTCTTTCTATCTCTTTTTAATTTGCAGGCACAGTATCACGTGTAGCATTTTATTGAATTAGTCGATAAATATCGTCGAGATTTTTAATATTTTCTCATCGAATATACAAACAACAGAAAATAATTATTTCTCTGCGTTTGAATAGTAACTTTTAATATATTATTTTTAAACTAATAGTATACAATATTTTAAGATTAAAAACAAAATGAATAAATTTTATTCTAAAAATTTGCATAAAAAAACTCACTCGAAATTTAAATAAATCAATTGTAGTTAATAAAAAATAAGAAACAAACTACACGTGTTATCGAACACATACCATTTGAATAAGTACAGATATATATTAAAAGATAATATTATAATACACACATATAATAAAAGTATCTTTTAAAATCGAAAAGTATCGATAAAAAAAAGAAAAAAAAAATAATACGAAGAATTTAACGGGGTTGTTCCATAGACTCGACTAGACGAGACGACTCGTCTGCATCGGCACATCAGAATTCTTGACCTGACACGTGCTGGAATTCTTTATGACTCCCTTGGTAGTGTCACGAACAAGATAAAAAGAAAAAGAAAAAAAAAGACAGACAGAGAGAGAAGAAAAGAAAGAAAGAAAAAAAAGAGAACAAGAAAAGTTCGTGCCACACCCTTAGACGACACGAGCTCGTTGAAGGGTCGTTAAGTAAAAACACGAATAAAGGAAAAAAGGTTTAGGTGTTTGGGGCCTAAGAGGTCGAAGTTTTAAGAGTACTTGGATGTACTCACTATCTATCCTTATATATATGTGTATGTGTATGTATGTAAGTTAGTTTTACCAGTCTCTGTTTTTCTTTCTTACTTTCTTTCTCTTTTAAACAACTCGTTCATAGAATGATATCTATTTATTTATTTGTTTATTTTTATTGTTTCAAGAACCGTCGTCGCTATACGACAACAACCACTACCACGAGGAGTGCCTAAAATGTAACAGTTGCGGCGCCAATCTGACGGGAATCAATCAGAAAAGGGCGAGGCGGTTAGTGTTCTAATATTTTTTTATTGGTTTAGATAATACCATTGGATAAGAATATCTCTATATATGGGGCTATATATTTATATAAATATATATATAGATATAGATATCTGTTGGTATATCAAAATCGAAGTAACTTTTCTCAAAAAGGATTCTATTTTTCCCCTATAATATATGTATACAACCTTTGGAAGGTTTCTTTTTTTTCTAATTTCTTTGATTGAATGAGAAAAAAATAGATGTTAATAATTTCTTTTTCTATTTGGAAGTAATAATTGCAGTAATTTTTCTTATTATTTTTCGCAGATTAATAAATCAAATAATTAGTATTGTATTATGATTTAATACATATCCTTGTACTATGATTTAATGCATGGAAGCTTTCTCATGTTTGGATCATAAAGCATATTACGAGGATCACACGTTGTTATAGTGCAAAGGGTTAAAGGTCCTAGGAAGGAAATATCTTTTTATTTCCCTAATATGTAGACACGTTTCTTCTTTTCTAGTGGATATTTTCATTTTATTTTTCTATTGGAACAAATAAATAAAAATAGATATTAATTATATTTTTTGTTTCTTACTTTTGAGAAAAAGATAATTATTGTTATTTAGTTTATTGTTTTTCGTAGGTTTAAAAATCAGATACTTTGCGATCTGCATTTTGCCGACGTGGCGCTGATGGAGTGCTCGGACTTCATGCAGCTGTTGCGCAGCTTCAAACCACACAGTTTAGGCAACGCGGTTGCCAGAAGAAAATCATCAAATACTTTGATATTTCTTTTACCATCTCAAGCTTGTTCAGGTATGAATTATTATCCTTTATACACCTATATTAATTACATTTAACGATTAAGTTCATTTTCTTTTCATAGAATTTTAAACAAATGTTTACGAACATATGTGAACAAATTTGTTCATTAATAATGTATAAACGTAAGTGAAACATATATATGAATATGAAAAATTTGTTTTAAAATTGATAAACAATTCCAATATGAAATATTAGGATGATTGAAATATATAAACATACAGTGAACAAATTTGAATACATATGAAACAAATATAAATGTAAAAATCGACCAATTGTTAAACTTTAACGTTTGTTTAACAAATTTTTGAAGAAACTAGTTCATATGTTCTTTTACTTTCGAGTTTCTTTTCTATTTCTATCATTCACTCTTTTCTCTCTCTCTCTCTCTCTCTCTCTCTTAACGCAAAGTCGGCTTTGTAACGTTTCAAAGGGTCGCTTAGAAAGCCGAACATATACATAGATACATAACACATATATAATATACACGTATATATATAGGAACTTTTATAAGCGTGTATGTGTATGTGGTGCATAGCTACAGGTGGTTTCTCCTACTTGGATTACACGCGATTATTTAAGAAAACATATATTCACTTATACACATTTACAAACTATCTCGTCTTAACACACACACACACACATACACGCAAAATTATTTTACACAATATTTTAGAATTTTTAAAAAATCTATTTTTTATTTCTATCAACAAAAGAGAGAGAAAGAGAAAATTGACGATCGTAATCAATTTTTAAACACGAAAAGATTATTTTATTTTCATTCAAATCTCCAACGAAAGGCAAACAAAAAAAAAGAAAAAATATACAAGATAGGGGATAGTTAATTACTAACGAACAAAAGTAATTATAATTATACGGAAGAAGGACGCTATAATAAAAGGATCATTATGAAATCAGGAGCCAAAAAAATGGCAACGCAGGCGGCTCACTCTAAGTCAGAATACCAAGCCCTGTTTCGAAACAGCTTGGTGTTCCACCTTACAGTGGGTCGACTGCGTTATCGTCAACAATCAAAGGAAAGGAAAGAAAAAGGAAAGAAAATTACTAAACGAAGGATATCGAGATACTTTGAGAGAAGTAAATACTTTGAAAGAAGAATTTAGAGAAGATGGAAATGACGAATTGTTAAAGGATACTCTAACAATGATAGAAGAAATACTAATCCTTGAATACGTTTCTAAGTGGAAGAGAATCAATCTTGGATTCAACTGGAAGATAAATCAAAATAGTTTTGTTATCTTTGTTCTTATCTCTTTCTCTCTATCTCTGTCTTTCTTTCTTTTTGTTTTCTTTCTCTTTCTAAAATTCTTTCGAACCGTATTAAATTTTTTCCTTTGAAATTCGTATTACTTGTATTTTGAAAATTCTTATCTCGTCTTTTTACCAACCTAAATGATTTTTCTTCTCTTTCTTTATTTTCTTTTTCTTCTTGTATTACTGGACACCTTTTATCTCTCTCTTTCTCTCTTTCTTGTTATTTATTAATTTTCTTTGGAAATAAATTACATCCCATTGGTACCGAGATATCCAATTGCTCTCAGCCGAGGTTCCACGATTTGATGAAATCATAAACACGATTTTCATCCTGTAGCTCTTCGAAACGAGCTACGTGAGGATAAATTCGTCACGTTGATTAAAATTAAATGTAATTTTACGTCCCTCAGTACGTATATTTGTGTATGTGTGTATTATACGTTTATGTATATCGATGAGACACGTTCAAAGTTGTTTTTTATTCTCTTTTTATATTTTATTTTTTTAAAAGATACAATTAAATGTTGATAAAAACCAAAGAATATCAAAATTAATTTTATTAATTAACAATTCAAATGTAAACAAGTTGTTTCAATCTATTGTATGATGAAAAAAAAAGAATTTCCAATTATTATTATTTTTCTTTTCAATTGATTCATTTAAATTATTCGAAATTGTCAACTTGTTTGCATTTTATCGAACGATAAAAAAATTGCAAAGCTTTGTCAATCGTTCTTCTCGTTTGTTTGTTTTTTTGTTTTTTTTTTGTTCTATCATAATAAAAAGTTGTTAAATTCCTTTTATTTGTTTTCTTTTTTTTATAGATGAATTCTGTCAAGAGTATCCGCACAATTTTATCCCAGCACCGGGTTATTGGATCGAATGTTCCAGACAACAGATAACCACCGATCTTAGCAATGAAAGAAATGACAGGGATGGTCTAGATCCCGATGAAGTCGAGGATTATCAATTTTCTTTGTCAGAAGAAAGAGAATTCGAGACGAATGACAGTACGAGAAAGAAAACGGCTATCGAAGAACAATGGGAGAAATATCAATGTTTCGAGTTAACGTCGGTCGAACAAGAAACTTATGAGAAATATTTTTACGCATCTGAACATTGGAATTATTTTACGAACGATGAAGATCTTGGACCGGTGATACTCAGCATCAAACAAGAAACTCTTAATGGACGGGATCAATTTAGAATACTCGTTAGGGCAATCAGTTATACGGTACATGGACTTATACCAGCCAGTTGTGTTTTCGCTGATCGGTAATTAATAAATAAATTAACCAATTACGTAATTAGTAACGAGATTTGATGGATGATGGATGCATGTATAAAACAAAACTCTAAACTATTGAGTTAAATCTTATTTATGTGTTGTAAAAAGATTTAATTATATTTTTAATCGATTACATCATCAACAACGATACACTCGCGTAGATACATTTTTTTTTTTTTTATATTTTCACGTTAAATTAGAAAGTTCATCAAATTGGCTAACTTTATTAATACAACTTAAAAATACTTCGAGGCAAAAGTTTTTCTTAAAAAGAAAAAGAAGAAAACATTTTTACTAGATTTTTCTTTTCTTTTTCTTTTTCTTGATTTAATTTTTCTCTGGAGATTTGAAAGAAAATGTGTCAAGGACACCGATATTTCTCGTTTCTAGGTACAATCGTGAAGAAGTAGTACGTAGTCTTGGTAAAGAAGTAAACATCAATCCACCGTTGACACTTGGTCAATTGCCGGACACCCCAGAGGAACTTCTAAAGCTCGATCAAGCTTTCATCAAGTCCGAGGTTAAAGTTGGAGTGATATATGTGAAAGAGGAACAATGTACGGAAGAGGAGATACTTGATAACAACGAGAATTCACCATTGTTCGAAGAATTTCTTCAGATTCTAGGTGATAAGGTCAAGTTAAAGGGATTTGACAAGTACAAAGGTGGTCTTGATACCGTTCACAATTTAACTGGATTTAATTCCGTCTATACCAATTGGCGAGGCATTGAAATCATGTTCCACGTGTCGACCCTTTTACCTTACGAAAAACACGACACGCAAAAGGTACAAAAATATTTGTTGTTTCATTGATAGATAAAATATTTGAGTGGCAAATATATCAATAATTATTTTTAATATTAAAAAATAATAGTTACAAAGAAAAAGACACATTGGCAACGACATAGTTTGCGTTGTATTTTTGGAAGCTGATAAAACGAGATTCAATCCTGCTTGTATTAAGTCACACTTTTTGCACACGTTCATCCTGGTTCGTGTGAGTCCTGCTGCGCAAACTAAAAGCCCTCAGAAAGAGGTTACCAAATATGAAGTGTCTGTAGTCACCAGGGATGAAGTTGGTGCTTACAAACCTTATCTATGGGAACAGAGTGTCTTTGAGAAAAGTTAGTTAATTATTTTGATCAATATAAATATTTTATAGTAATTTTTTAAAATTATATTTTAATGTTGTGTCCGCTCAAAAAAAAAATTAGGTCCTATGTTTCGGGAATGGATTCTGACAAAAATTGTGAATGGTGAAAGGGCGAGTTACTCGGCACCAAAATTTGCAAGAATGCAGGAAAGAACAAGAAGTCAAATGATGGAAGATATCGTAACCAATTTAATCAATCATGCAGAAACTGGCCAAATTCCAAAACCGTACAGGTAATTAATATTTATTATAATATAAATATGAATTACGTGAATTTTGGATTGTTTGATGATTTGATTTTATTGATTTAGACGAGGATCTTGGAGACCGATTGGACATATGAGACCATTCTCGCCATTATTGGATTCTGTTCGTGATAAATTTGAGGACTATGATCAATTGGCTAAAGATTTTACTAAAGTATTCTTAAATAATGCTGAAAATGTCTCATTGAATGCTAATTTATTTGACGTATCCTTCCTTGTACCTGGACAACACAAACAAAAGGTCCGATTTCTTGGTGTTCGAGCTATCTTGGCTGTTAGAAGCAGGTAATTATAAATATATTATTATATATTTATAATATTTCTTCTATACTAACAAATAAATTTATTTAAAATAATAAAATAATATTATCTTCTAGATATATATATATATAAACTAAAATATTTGTAATAATACAATCTCTAAGCAGAATTTAATAAGAAACCTGTTTTTCATTTTGAAATTAAAAAACAAAATGGATTTACAGATGGTTAAAATAAAATTAATATAATAATTAAGATTTTTTTGAATAATTTCAGGGTATTTCAAGAAATGTTATACGGAATTCAAGCAGGTTTTGGAAGTCCTCAAGTACCAGTTGCCGAATTATTAGCAAGACCAGCACCAACCTTGCTAAGTCCACAAAAACCAAAGAGTTCTAATTTCCTACAAGTTCCAGACATGGAAAGTCCTAGGTACGTTATAGTTAAGTATAATAATATTATTTATCATTGCTTATAATCTCGCAGGCATAGTTTCATATTATTTAAAATCGATATGAAATTGGAAGTTAAACGAAAGAAAATGGAATTCATGTATGTACTATCTCTGTCTATCTGTTTATCTATCTATCTATCTAACTATATCTATCTATCTATTTATTACTGTGCAGTTAATTAGGTAAGCTAATAATAAATAGAAACAAAATTTGTTCACATTTCAATTTCTTATTATTTTTTTCAAAAATTTGTCTACTTTCGATATGCTCGAATTACGATAAGAATACGATAAGAATTGGATTATTTTCTGTGCACGTGCAATACTTATTCTCGATTGGTATTTAAAAAAAAAAGTAAGAAAGATTGAATATTTAAAAAATAAAAAAATAAAATAAATAAGAAAATATAAATGAAAATTATATGGAATATTCTCGAATGATGAGACTAATGCCTGCATTTTAAATGTCGAATGCTCTTTTCATATAAGATATATTTATTATATTTATATAATTATTATTATTATTATTATTATTATTATTATTAAATGTATTATTTCACGGCACATCCATGTCTCCTATCCTTAAAGCACCGCATGTTTAGTCCGTATCATTATTATTATATTTTTAAATGAATTTATTAAAACAAAAAGCAATTATGCAAATGGTATATTAAAAGGTATTTTCCAATTTTGTGTCGCATGCAATTTTTTTTTTTAATCGTCATCGTCGTCGTCGTCGTCGTCGTCGTCGTTATGAAGCAATTGCACAAAAGCAGTATCGTTTGCGGTCCGTCGGTGCCTACTTACTTTTGTAAACCACCAATTGGCACTAAATTTTTTATGGATAAAAAGAAAACAAAACCTGCAGCCTTATGCGATATTATTTTGTTTTGCACTCCTCTACGTATTTTATTTATATACATATATTTATTTTTCTTCTATTAATTTTAATAATAAGGTAATAAAACCAACGTAGACAATGTAACGGCATGCAGATTTTTTGTAACTCATTATTATATCATAAGGAAGAAAAAGAAAACTAGTAATAAAAGGATAAAGGAAACAAAAAATTGGCATTTATCGATTGTTTATAGATAAATCATGTCCTTAAAATAATATAAATCCTTAATCCTACCTTTACGACAAATTCCGATCCGTACCCCGAGGTGCCGCTTTAGCGTATTCTGTGAGATACTGGTTCTAATCTGTTTAGGCCCAAAAGTGTGCCCTCATCGCCGATGGTTAAACGTGCTATCTCGAGACTGGGAACAATCACTGCCGGTTGGGGAAGGAGTATCAGAAAACATGGAGGTAATACTTTACAAAGTGAAGATCGTAAAAGATGGGCTAGTTCGCAGGATTGCAGTAGTGAGTAGAATTTGCTTATAAATCGAACAAATCTCATAAATCGTATGAACATTTATTCTGTTTCTTTTTTTATAGATAAAGATGCAAAGGATAAAGATAAGACTGCTGAATATTTAGCTGTTCCAAGACTGAGCGTTTATGCTGATGCACAAAAAGTTGATCGTGCTAAACTCGCTCAAACTGAGGTATATCAATTAACTTTGAAAATTTATCTTTTTTGGGTGGGGATAGTCTATATTTTTTACATTATTTATATAATTTATAATAGTTCGACGTGATCGAGTTCGATCCAGAAACGTTTGGAACATTATTGGACTATCTGCAAACCGGTTCGTGTCCTTTGACCTGTAGCAACATACCAGGTCTGATATGTGCAGCTGAACATTTTGATTTGCCCGAACTTCTTCAAGCTTGTTTCCATCACGCTAAACAATACCTTCGTATCGAGATAGTATGCGAGATGTTATGCGTTCTTGAAAATTATTATTGGCGTTATACATCGGCTAACGATTTGATGGACATGATTAAAGCATTCGTAAGAACAAGAGCATCTCAACTATTTCAAAATCCAGACTTTTTAACATTAAGCGAGTCGATGGTTCAAATGATAATGTCTAGCCGTCCCGAGGTAGCTGAGATCAAAAAATTCGAGGCTATGCTGAAATGGGCTAATCATAGGATCAAAACTAAATCGGCTGAACAACATGATACTAAACATGAATTTAAATGTATCATGGAAAGACTATGCAATGATATTAATTTGTATGGAATACCTCCTCAAGAATTAGTAAGGGTAAGTAACTAAATAAATAAATAACAAGTAATATCATAATTGTTTCTAATATGGAAAAAAACGTGATTTCAAAAATTTGACGATCAATATGAAAAAAAGATCAAAAGATTACTTTAACTATGTGAAATATGAATATTTATTGAAACAAGATAAATTAAATTGTTACAATGTTCCATAATAGAAACTATTACCCTAAATATTGAACAGAAACTTTTATAAAAAAAAAGTAAATCAATGTTATTTTTAGATCGTCCTACCGTCAAAAGCTATAGATAATGAATTGATCTTAAAGACTTTAATGGTCCAAGCTAATTCAGGAATCTATCGTAATGTCGATAGTTACTTAGAAGCTTATCAAGAGAACGTTCAGAACCAAGAAAGTTTTGATTATTAGCCAAGGGCTCGTGGTAGATCTTCGAGCGAGCGACGTCGTGACAGATTTACTGAGGATTTACTCAAATAAATTACTATTTCAGAAGTCAGACAGAGAGAGGGAAAGGCAAAAGAGAGAGAAAGAGAAAGATAAAGATACATACATATATATATATAATATAATATCTATGATTTGATATGAAGCTGACAGGCTTGTATACTATTAAAGGAATGGTAAGCTTTCTCTTCTGGGGTAACTTATGATTAGAAACATGTTATCATGCTACTCGATATGCGTAGGAGTTACTAATTATACCTTAGCCAACTGTCTGACAAGTGTTCTGATTGATTATCTGAAATCGAATAAGCTCGCCCGTCGTCTACCATGTAACTAAAGAGAGTATCGAAATACGAAAATTAATTATTATTACGATCAATGTGTATATATATACATATATGCATACATGTATATACGTGCCATATGTTTTTCGTATATCTTATACGATAATCAATAATACTACACAATGCGCACGTACGATCTAAAGTACATAAACATAGTTAGTGAGAAATTAATGAAGATCTGTGTATGTGGAAAAATTAATTACGTTTCAATGATTCCTTCGTCTTTATTTTCGAACTATCATTTGTGAGAAAGAAAGAAAGAGTTAGATAGATAAATACATAGATAGATAGATAGATAAATAGATAGATAGATGAATTTAGACGAAGAGAATAATACTTGGATGAATAAAAAAAAAGAAATTGAAACAACATGTAAAGAATTTTAATTAAAACGATTAATGACTAAATCAATAAAATGAAATATAGATAAATATAAATGGGGGTCAAAAAAAAAAGATGAAATACGAGAGAAAGTAATGGGGAAAAAAATGTGTTAACAAAATGAATGAGAATATATCTTATCGAAAGACCCCTGACGACTCTCCCGAAATTAGTTAGGAGTTAAAGTAAATTGTATATTTAATACATACATACATACATATACATACATACATAGATACATACATCAATACATACATATATACATACATACATACATATATACATACATACATACATATATACATACATACATACATATATAAACATATATTGTTCTGGCACATTCATAAATGCACGAAGATGATCATCTGGCCAATAAGAATATCTTTCTTTGGAAATTGGAAAGAGAAGAATGTGAATCCTAATCTTTGGAAGATCATAAAATAAAAAAATGTTAACTTGATAAGCGCTAAGATAAACGCATAGTATTCGAGATTGGTTGATATTGAATCAAATGCTGAACATGACAATCTGTATAATAGAGAAACACTCTATTGATAATATTTATAATTAATTAATATGAAGAATTAATTTAATGGTGAACGCCAAAAATGATTATAATTAAGGAATGTGTGATTACGGCAAATAATAATAACACTGAAACCAAATACAGAAATAATAATAATAATAATAATAATATTTTAAAAAAACGATATAAGATTAATACTATATATATATAATAAAAAATAGTTAATAACAATAACGGTAAACGTTGATGTTAAATGTGGGATGAAACAAATAATTGCTAAAAGAAAAAGGAAGAAAAAAAAAAGAAAATAAAAATAAAACTAAAAAGATAATGAAATATTTAAAGTCTGTTCTGTTTTCTATCGTAGATTTTGTATCTTCAATACTCTAATAAAAGATGACGATTCTAAAAAAAAATAAAAAAGATAAATAATTAAAGAAAATTCGCGGGGACAGGCTGGAAGAGAGAATTCATATTTAAGTGGGACGATGGTATACATAGAATCGTATGTTTACACGCGCGAATAAATAAATAGATAAATAAATAAATAAATAACTAATAATAATAATAATATTAATAATTATAATAGTAATTATAATAATAATTAAATAATTATAATAGAAATAATAAAATACACGCACGCACGTATACAATCTCGTCATGTATTAAATTTAATTCCCCTTAATTGAATTCTCACAATTTTAAATGAGATAAAGAATAATGAATAAAAATTAGAAAGATTTAAATGATCAAAATCCTGAACTATAAAATCCTGATCATTAAAGCATATCATAACGAATTTGAATCCGTTCGTATCATCCAGCCTGTTTCCTAAGTTTTATTAAAAATAATGGTATTAACAAAATCGAAAGAGAAAAAGGTAGATAGAAAATGTAAGGTGTCATTTAACGATATATATGAAAATAAAATTGATGAAATTAGATAGAGAAAAGGTGAAAAAGAAAGGTAGTCGAAATTCTTGAGAATATGAAAAAATATAAATAAAAAAAATGAGTAATGGTAAAAAAAATATTTTGTACGAGATCCGTTCATCGTTTAATCACGAACAAAAAATGGACCCGAATATTTTCAAAGCGACGATGATATATCACGATCACACATACATATACACATATGAAAACGCACATACAACTCTTTGAAACACATTGTGGTTTTGTTATACTTGAAACGATAATAATGCCAATGTATTATCCAAAGAAATATATATATATATATACACATACATATAATATATAATAATAATAATAATAATGAAAATTGAAATCTAATAAGAATAATAAGTAAGAATAATAAGTAACAATAAAAAAAAATAATAATAATATTATTAATAAATACTAAATAATGAATAATAATGATACTATTAATAATTATGGTAACGAGAAGAAAAAAAAAGGATAATTCATCGATTCCTTCGAGGGCAGAAGCGAGGAATTGCCAAAACTGTTAAGTGTCTTATTGTTCGGGCAAACGGCTGGACAAAACTAGATTTTCGAAGTTTCCTTTTATCAAACTACATACTCCAATCAATTTATTCTACTATTCATTTAAATATCTTAACAAAAATATTTGACGAAAACAAAATAAAACACGTAGAAAACGTTTATTTTCTGATCCTATTCGATCACAGTTTTTTGTCTATATTAATAATAATAATATTAATTAATTATTATATTATAAATAAATACAATTCTCCAGAGTTTATTTTTTTGTATCAATATTGTTCTGCTCTGTCAATCTTTTATGTTCGTAAATGCAACCATGAAAATTTGTAAAATTATTCATCTTGTTTATTTTCTTCTGTTTTGTTTTAGAAATAAATTAATGAAATATTTGCAAGAGTTAACTTAAGATTAAAAGGATTTCGAAATTCTACTTTAAAACCAATGTATAAACATAGACGTTTTAGCATACGATCGTGAAAAGAGCGAAATGAAAATTAACTAAAAAGAAAAAAAGAACAGAAAAGAAAGAAAAAAAAAAGTCGTAATCAATCATTCGTGTCGTGTCGTGTCGTGTCGATCAATCATTCGACACGTGTGTATGTACGCGCTCTTTAGTTTTTCTCACTCGAAAGAGAAAAACTTCGAAAAAAATCCATTTCAACTTCATTATTATCATTAAAATTTCATCAACTAAAGCATCGCGAAATATTCTTCAATCGATCATAGAAAATGGATTTGCTTTAGCGAATGCGAAGATCGACGAGGACAGAATTTTGTTACTTTCTACTAATCGATCACTCTTACTTTTATGTTATGTTAAATATTTCAAGAAAATACGTAATTTTTATTATTATACGTGTTCTATTAATTTTATTAGTAAAATTTTGTTATTATTTCAATTTGTCTATGTATAAGTAATATTATATCTTCTATATATTATTATAATTTATTTTATTATTATTAGTAATTTTATAATTACTAATTGTAAAATATTTGTTTGTTAACTTTTATTATAATTTATTAGTATATTATTATAAATTATTTTATTATTATTAGTAATTTTGTAATTATTAATTATAGGACATCTGTTAAGTTTTAAGAGTGAGAAATTATTATTGAAAATTCGAGTAAAAAAAAACCAAAAAGAAAGATAAATTATTACTTACAAATGAATATAATATAATCATATTAAATCTTGATGATTTTTGAAACTGAACAAATTTCTGTGCATAGCGTCGTCTGATAGGAAGCGGACTTGTACCTGAACGTATGCGAATATCAAATCAGTACAAATGTACGCCTGTTGTGTATGTAATTCACTTTTTCCTCTCCACGTTCACCGCGTGAACACGGTAATGTACAAAAAGCGACCTCCGTTTTAGCTAAACTTGACGACGCTCTCAAATTATAGTTCGATACAAATTTAAAAGAAAAAAAAGAAAGAAAAAAAGAGAGAGAGAATTAACAAAACAATAAGTAAAAAAAAAAAATATGTCGTGTATGTGTATGCGTGTGTGTGTGTTAGAATAACAAAAAATTAATATAATAATTGCAAGTAAGATTACACGAGTAAATGCAAATGTGTACAATTGTATGTACGATTGTAATATACGTGTGCGTGTAAGAGATTAACAAAAAAAAATAAAAAAAAAACAGACAAAAGAGCGATAATCGATCGACCTATCGATCGATAAATTCAATTTGTCGAACGCTATTCTGTCCAGCCATTGCCGCCTACTGTTCAAACTGTACATGTACTCACACAGATGCATATATACATATGTATATGTATATATTACGTTTAATGAAAAAAAAAAAACTAGTAAATTACTGCATTGAAAAAAAAATAAATAAATAAATAAAAATGATATAACGTATAGAAACGTACGAGCGAGAAAAAAATCTTATAAAATAAAAAATGAGATATTAAATAACGCGCGCGCGCGTCTAAGCACGCACACGTAACGCAAAAAATGATAAACGCTCATGCATACAAACAAACATACATACATACATACATACATACATACATACATACATAAATACATACATAAATACATACATAAATACATACATAAATACATACATATATGTATGTATATATATAGATATATCTATCTAGATAAATTAATTAAAATAAAAAAAAAACATTATTTGATTTCAAATTAACACGTATAAGTACCACGTTGGCGAACTGCGGCGAGTATCTAGAGATTAATTGTGTATTATGATTGTTTCTTAGAGTTGAAGATAAAAGAAATTAGAAGACAAAAAAATTAAAAATTTTTGTTTAATAATACGCGATATAGAAAAATAAAAGAAAAAAAGAGAATGCATAAAAGCATTGAAATCTCTATTTCGTGAAAATGTGAAATCAAGATGGCGCCAAAGTATCGTAACCATTTTATTTTCCTTTTAAATATTCGTAATGCGCCGCGTATGTGTTGTTGATAATTGTCATGATTATCGTTCATGTTTTTTCATTGTTATAATTAGTTGACTAATTAATTAAGTAAATAATTGACTAACTAAACTGAACTAAACTACATTAATCTCTGTCCTTATCAAAACGATTGCTGCTGCCATTGAATTTTCCATCATCATCATCATTATTATTATTGTTGTTGTTGTTGTTGTTGCTGCTGCTGTTGTTGTTAAACTAGCCGCGAAATGTGTAATCGTACGTTTTATGTGATCGATCGATTAATCGATCGATCTTTCTCTCGTATGTATTATATATTACGTAAATGAAAAGGAGAATGATCGATCGATCACGTATATACGTAAATTTCGACAATTTCGAAAAGTGTGCTCGGTGTTAAAAATGAAATCGTTGATTTTAGATAGTATTATTCTAATTTAATTACAATGTTTTATTTGAATAACAATTAAATTAATTATTTATTTTATTGATTAAATCAATGATCAATAATTGAAGTTCTTATCGTATTATTGCAAAATTAATAATTTGTTTAAGATATATTAAATGAAAATGAATCTACAAACGCATAATTCGTCAATGATTTACAATATTTACAAATAAAATGTTACAATTTGTTAATTATAATTCGCACGTTAACTAATTATTTTGTATACACAAATAATCATTGACCAATCAAATTAATAGACTCATTTTCACCTCGTTCATCATTTAAATTTATTTATCGATAATAATATAATTTATTTTTTATATATAATAAAAATAAACGAAATAAAACATTAATTTAACAAAGATCAAAATTTCAATTATTTATCATTAATTCAACTAATAAATGAAATAATTCATTTAATTGTGACTTGATAATAAAATATTGCTCCGATATTAGTGTCTTCGATAAAAAAAAAATAAGGGAGAAGAAACGGATCGATCGATATCGTTTAGAATAAACAATTTATCATGATTAAGAAGATATTCTTAAGTTTGCGTCTCCAAACTTAAAAGAATAAAAGAAAATAAGTAATATAATATAAGATAAGATAAATAGCTACTGATTTATCGTAACAGATTATAAGAGTCGGTGAGGCTCTCGTAATTCTTCCGAAATGATGATAGTTTTACTGAAAAATGAATTATCGATTAACACGTTATATCATCGCATTTATCGTGATGTGCTCTCATTAAACTGTTTCTATAACAAATTTCGAGAAATTGCCTTCTCATTGTATTAACCTGATCTTCTTATTCCATGTATATACACATAAGCCTGATCTTCCATATTGAATAGAAAATAAATCGAAAAAAAATAGAAAGAAATATCGTAAAATACATTTTTCTGTTAATAAATCATTTCTAAATGAAACAAATAAATGAATAAATAAAAAACCAATTAATATTCACATTCATCAATAACACGATGTAAATAAATTGGATGCATTTACCTTGATGAAAAAAAATGAAAGAGAGAAAAAAAAAGAAAGATGGTCGGTATTTGTGAAAAAATAAATAATAAGAAAAGAAATAATAATTGTGCTAATTGATCTAATTGCACAATATATTAAATGTGTAATTATTTGAATGGTCCTCTCGTTTATATTCCATCGATGCGTTGTAATTTAAATAGAAATGACAAAATTAGAAAAAATAATAAAACTTTCATTAATTGTAGTGTTTCTTTGAACTCGCCGTGACACGCTTGCGTGGTAAGAATTGTACGCGTAAATGAAGAAATCATGACGAGATTGTAATGTATATGAAGCTACTGTGATGTTACTGTTGAATATAAAAATATATATACATATATAAGGTGTCTCGCTAATTGCATTGAAAAAAAAGAAAGATTTTACATGAAAATTCGTTTCGTTATTAGATTATTATTTTTTCTTTAATTAATTTATTCTTGTTAGATTTTAATTCGAATTTTTGTTGCGTTTTAATCGTGCACTTGGAAATGTGCGTATTTTATAAAATATTTCGTTTATTTACATTTCTACAAAATCTCAAATTATCATCCAAGTCTTTGTACAAACAAAACAATCCTAAAGACTTAGACTGATTCTTATATTTTTTTTCTTTTTAATTCTGCTCATCGTATAAAAAACGTTGCCATTACTAACGAGTTAGTATGCACAGTGTAAAGATTGTTTCATACAAAACTCACTTATCGCAATAATTTATATATAATTTCTTACTAGTACAATTTGTTTGACTAAATGAATGAATTATAGTTAAACCATTATGGTTCAAATTTGAAAAATGTGAGACCGTAAGATCTTACATGTAAAAATATTATGTACAATTAGTCAGTTTCAAATCATACTTTGAGAATTCCTGAAAATAATTTCATAACATAATTAACATCGGCTTCTAGCAATTTTTTAAAATCACACACATTATTAATTAATTAATAATCCCTAACACTCCAATCCTTCAGTCCAATATAGACACTTTGGATCTATCCGAACTTGGCGTTTTTTCATTGCCGACGAGTGTTGATCAATAATTTCCCTGTGAATAAAGATCTACATCAATATGGAGACCGAAGGAGATCCGACATTCTGTTATTAACTAACTTTCTGCCTAGATCCTTCAATTACCTATTCAACGTTATGATATATTGTCCTTTGTAGTAGTTAATTAGATTCAAATTTTGTAACGTCGATATAACATCTTCCTTTTTGATTGAAGTTAAATCACAGATTTCACTTATCGTTATTTGTGGTTTCTCATTATCGACTACGGGTTTAATATTTAATAATATATCAAGTATCGTATGCGTCCAATAACTTCTATACGACAGCAAACCCAAATCAGATAATGGCTTTTCAGGTGATCCAGTTTTACCCTCGAATTTGGAGAGTTCATAGGAAAATTCAATTAACAATTTTCCATATCCTTTTCTTTGGTATGGCGGCAGTGTAAGAATACAGGCAACGTTGTGATCCTCAGGTGATTCCTTTTCTTTAGAAAAATATCCAACAATATGAAAGCCTCTGCTATCAAAATCAGTCATAACGTAAAATAGAAAAGGGTCAGTATCGTAATACAATGTCTTATGATCGAGAAATAATTTAGCTAATAGACATAAATTTTGCGCATAGTTTTTGTTTTTTCTACCATCAATTTCAAAAAACGAAATAGACCCTTTTCTATATATTTCATTTCCCGGTGGATGACGTAAATTGCACTTGGATAAATGCCTCTCCAAACACTTTCTACTTTTCCTATACTTCAAGCAGAATTCACAAATATATATACATGGAAGATTCACCATTTCTTGCGGGTACGGACTGAAATACCAAGGTTTTATCCTATGACGACCTAATTCTACCAGTTCAACATTTTTCATCCGTGTAACAACGTCATCCTGTTGATGAGCAACTAAAGAACCGGTAGGTCTTGGACCTGTTGCTTGAAGTGGACCATCTTGGGAATCCTCATTCTCTAAAAATGTTGACTTTCTCTTCTTAGACATTTTCTTTTGTAACGCTGCTTGTAATATAGCATTACCATTCACCGGTTTATTACTAACGCTACTAGGACTAGGAGGTCTGCTTTGCACTTGCTTTTTTGGAGTACCTGCTCCTGTTCCGGGAGCAGTGTTTCCATCTCGTTGAGGATACTGAACTTTTCTAGTGTCCAAACAATCCTCAGTAACCCACTCATCTAATCGCTTATTAACTGGAACATTATTGTCAATGTAAACTAATTCACGATAAAAAGTTATTATCTTCATTTAAAAATACTACTTACAATCAACATAATGCACGTAATAACATCTGATACTGTGTATATCCTTAACACTGATAATTTCAGCTAGGGCTGTGAATAATAAAATCACTATCATTCTATAAAATGTTTGATGGAATGATATAACTATGTAATGTAAATATAACCTCAAAATATTGAAATTATAATTCCTATATTTAATCAAATGTTTAATTGCATTAGCTATATAAAAATGTTTTAAATAATATAAGTATATATTTTAAATAAAATTATCATTCATTATATTGTAGATGTAGTTTAAACTAATCTCTGTTCATGTGATAATAATATATGTCAAATATAGTAAACTTTAACAATAATGTTAAATAAATAATAATAATTTAGATTGATAAAAATAATCTAATAATAATTTAACTCACGCCAATCGTCTGTTCCTTGCATTTTGACCGGTAAACGACAACCTTCCACGAGTGAATTCTGAAATTAAGGTTAGGATATTGTTATGCAAAGAAAAATAGATTTTTAATCTTATTTTTTAGACAATTTCATTAATTTTTATAATTGATTTAATAATATACGTACCACAGAATCATATATTGTTTCATGCTCGTTGTGTTCTTCAATCATTTTAATTGAAATTTAACAAGATTTAAATCCTACACTATTCTTTGTTTTAAGCCCCTATGGAACTATATATTTACACGAGTTCACACCGCTCTTACGCGACTTATTTCTTTAAATAGAAAGAGAACATAGAAAGTTAATTGTAAGAGAATATTTAGATCTATTTATATTGGTTGAAATCGGACGAAATAGTTAAATTAGTTCAAATAAAATGATAACCTAATACTGAGGTCGCCATATTAGTTTCCCCATCCATAATATATATATATACAGTATTTTTTGCAAGTTAAATTTCACAATAAAAACGCAAGGTATTAAATTTATGTATATATATATACATAAATTATCGCATTGATTACAAGAATGTTTTGTATGTTACATTTTTTGGGAAAATAAGCGTATTAATAAATTTGAAAATAAATAAATAGATTAAAAAATAAACAAATTTTATAAAATCATATTTATTTTCAAATTCTACAAAGTCGAAGTATTGTTCCAGTCTATGTACAAACAACTATAAAGTTGTATAGACGTAATTTAGTTAAAAAATTTTCCTTGTATTAAAAGATTGCTATCAATTAAGTAAAACAAATACTGTTTTACGTAAAACCTATTAATCACATGTTTAAAGATGTTAAATTCTTGACAATAATATTATCTACTTGATTTAAAGAATAATTAAACCACTATGGTTCATGTCAAGGACTACTAGAAGTCTTTAAAATAGCAGACCATAAGATCATATAATTATATACATTTAAGTATGGTTAAAAATCATACATTATTACTTTCAGAATATCTGAAAATAATTCTAAAATAAAATGAATTAATAGGTTTATAACGAACATCTTTCAAATTGTTTCACCATTTAGGTCTAATGCTCCAATCTTTTGGTGTCCAATGAAGACACTTAGAATCTATTTTGACTTGGCGTTTTTCCATTGACGCTGTATGTTGTTCGATTATTTCTCTGTTAAAAAAAAAAAAAATAGTTACAGTTAAAAAGACCAAACTAACTTTTGGCTCTTATATTCTTTAACTTACCTGTTTAATGTTACAATATATTGTCCTTTGTAGTAGTTAATTAGATTCAAATTTTGTAAAGTCGATATCACATCTTCCTTTTTGATAGACGTTAATTCACAAATTTCACTTATCGTTATTTGCGGTTTCTCATTTTCTACGACAGGTTTTATATTCAATAATATATCAAGTATTGTATGTGCCCAATAACTTCGATAAGACAGCAAGCCCAAATCAGATAACGGCTTTTCAGGTGATCCAGTTTTACCCTCGAATTTGGATAGTTCATAAGAGAATTCTATTAACAATTTTCCATAACCTTTTCTTTGATACGGCGGCAAAGTAAGAATACATGCAACGTTGTGATCTTCCGTAGATTCTTTTTCTTTAGAAAAATATCCAACTATGTGGAAACCTCTGGTATCGAAATGAGTCATAACGTAAAATAGAAAAGGGTCTGTATCGTAATACAATGTTTTATGATCGAGAAACAATTTAGCTAATAAACATAAGTTTTGTGCATAGTTTTTGTTTTTTCTACCATCAATTTCGAAAAATGAAATAGACCCTTTTCTATATATTTCATTTCCCGGTGGATGACATAAATTGCACTTGGATAGATGTCTTTCCAAACACTTTCTACTTTTTCTATATTTCAAACAGAATTCACAGATATATATACATGGAAGATTCACCATTTCTTGTGGATATGGACTAAAATACCAAGGTTTTATTCTATGACGACCCAGTTCTATCAGTTCGACATTTTTCATCCGTGTAACAACGTCATCGTGATGATGTGCAACTAAAGAACCAGTAGGTCTTGGACCTGCCGTTTGAGGAGGACCATCTTGAGAATCTTCGTTTTCTAAGCACGTAGCTTTCCTCTTTCTAGCCATTTTCTTTTGTAACGCTGCTTGTAAAACAGCATTACCGTTCACTGGTTCACTAATAACACTACTAGGACTAGGTGGCCTACTTTGTACTTGTTTTTTTGGGGTTGCTGCTTCAGTTCCTGGAGCCGTTCCATCTTTCCTAGGATACTGAACCTTTCTTGTATCTAAACAATCTTCTGACACCCACTCATCTAATCGTTTATTAACTGAAACATTTTTATCAATGTTAATCAATTTATATTTATAAAAAAACCAGACTATTATTATTTTTCTTAAAGGAAAACCACTTACAATCGACATAATGTACGTAATAACACTTGACTCCATGCACTTCCTTTATGCTGATGATTTCAGCTAGGGCTACAAATGGTAAATATATAAAATATTAGTTAAATAATTAAATTAATAAAATATTTTTAAATGATCAACTAACTCACGCCAATCGTCTGTTCCATGCATTTTGACCGATAAACGGCAGCCTTCCGCAAGTGCATTCTGAAAGTGAGGTTAGAATATAGCGAAATTTATTTTCAAGTTGTTTCGTAACACATCGGGTACTTTATTAAATTATATAGCACAAATTTATAAAAACTTACTACAGAATCGCATATTGTCTCCTGTTGGTCGTGTTCCTCGATCATTTTATTGAAAATTCACTAAACTTTTTACTACACAAAACTTTGTTCAAATATCGTATGCTACACCATGAAAACAATAAACCTCTTAGCTTACGAGGTAAAAATAGAAGGCAATACGTAATACCAAATTCAGTCTCGTTTCTATTTGTTGAATTTCTATTGGTTGAAAATGGACAAAATATACGAATTAGTTTCTAATATCAACGGAAGATGACACTTTCGTCGGTACCTAATTTACATAGTACGGTATATGCAATCGGTATGTTTATAATTCATGATTTGTAAAGAAATGAAAAAAGTTAGGAAATGAAATTGGAAAGTTGACGAAAATTTGATATCTCGTACGATTTTCTTGAAAACTTTCTATCATGATCTAAAAAAAAAAAAAAATAGGACTTTTAGAATTTAAAATGAAATTTCATATAAAAGAAAGAAAATTACAAGCAGGAAAATTAGAGTGGTAAGTTTCTCTGTGAAGAATATTAGAAGTAAAAAGGAGAATTGAAATTTTCAAGAGGGTGAGAGAGAAAGAGATAAAGAAAGAGAAATAGAGAGAGAGAGAGAGAGAGAGAGAGAGAGTAAGAGAAAGATAGACTAATGAATCCTCACTATAAACGCGAAGTAATGTTTCAAAGTTTTGTGAGGAGTTCGAAAGCATTATCATCCTAGCTATTATAATACTGCTCTATTATACGTTTACGCGAGTGCGAGCGATGCTGCTTGCTAACGAAGCAAGATCGTACGGTACGTAGTAATTAGGAGAATACATTTAGTAGGTAATATAATTGAAGAGGACCGAAAATTTAGTCGTTAACATTTTCGCTAGAACGATTTGCAGAATTAATGATTTTCACATGTATATATATATATATATTACTTATACTTTATAACAACAAAAAGATTGTTACTTCTTCTTCCGTCATTTTACTTTATATTTTAAATATAAATACCTATTTATATTTATATTAGATTGTTAAAAAAGTAATTTTATTTTTTCATTGACAAATAAAAGAAAATTATTTCATTTAGAGATTCCTTAAAGTTTTAAATGATTAACATCTACCTGCCTTTATTTTGCCGCCATTTTCTTCAACTGGACGACTTCAAGCGTGGTGCATCTTTTAAATCGAAATTACTTGAATGAAAGTTTGAAAAACTATTTTAATACTGGCGGTCACTTAATTTATCTTCTCTGTAAATGGCATACTAATAGATCGAAATATAAAAAGGTTCTAAATCATTTCTAAAATGTCTGTTTTAAAAATATAAAATTATTTTGATGTTTAGAGTTTACGAAACAGCCAAAAAAATACATACGTTTATATATAGATAATTATATTTATACTATAATAAAATTTACTATAATATACCTGAATTTTTAATTTAATAAAAAATAGTTATATTCTTAATTCTTAAAAAGTATCACAATAAGTATTAGTAATAATATTAATAATATTTTACATATTTATATATTATTATTCAATAATATTATAATATCTGTCTAAGAGAATACATAATTACTGTATATATAAATAAATATTTAAATTTGAGTATAATGTAAAATGTTGTATAGAAGTGATGGTAAGAATCTTTTCATTAGTACGATAAAGTATAAGTCTCTTCTAAGAGCTTACAAAAGCAGCTTGTGCATTTATATATATGTATATATACTTACTTAAGTAGATAGGGATGTATGCAAGTATGTATGTAATATGTAGATATATTATGAGGTACCTTTAAGAGAATCACGTAGGGAGCGATTCTCTCTCTCTCTCTCTCTCTCTCTCTCTCTCTCTCTCTCCATACTTTTTCCCCGGATATAAATTTCTTTCATCGCCATTATCACTTTTAAATATCACTTTAACGCTGGAAAGGCGAGTCGTTCGATCGATCGTATCATATCGAAAGCCCACTAGCACATACCGCGATCGTACGAGCCGCACCCGGGGCTACATACGTCCCTGTGTCTATCCTATCGACATATGTACATGTATCTATGTATATGTGTAACTATACAGATGTATGTATATACATATGTGCGTATGCATGTGCATGCTTTCTATCCTCTCTCTCTCTCTCTATCTCTCTATTTGTGTGATTATGTGTGTATGTGTATGTTTTCTATCTTCTCTTTCTCTCTCTCTCTCTTTCAATTTCTATGTATACGTGTGTGTATGGATGTGTATGAGATACCACAAGCTAGTACATATGTGCTTTGCACATAAGTGTACTCTCAACGGGTATACATAAGGGTTGATAGTGCTCGTGCAAGCAAGCCGCCCTTATATGCAGGGCGTGGTCAGGGTCCACCAATCAGAAAGCAGGGACTCTTCGGAAAGGCCAAATCGAACGAAGTAAAAATTTCAGCGGTCGCGTCAAACGCCAACGTCAAACGGGATGAACACGGTTGATCCAGGCTTACATTTTCCTTCCTTATCCTTACCAATCGAACTATACGATTTTCTTTCCAACTTCTTCATCTTCTTCTACTTCTTCTTCTTTTTCTTCTATTTTGTATTCTTATTCGTTTATATTTATTTTTGTCTTTTTTCTTCCCCCAATCGTGAAAGTAAAGAAAAAGATATATTTTTTAGATCTTCATGTTATGAAACGTAGATCGACGTAACACATAGCTGTTAAGAATTCTTTTCTACGTACATTTCTGTGTGTACTTTGTTTATTTATATTATTTTTTTGTTGTAGATAGAAAAAGAAAGAACTATCACTATAAATTTGTTTCCGAGATATACGAATTTGGGAGAGAAAAATTGATATGCTGATATAAGGGTTTAAATAATAAAAATCTTGTTCGATCATAGAAGCACTTATGTATATCAATGAAGGATATTAATTCCTAATTTTTTTTTTTTTGTAGAGAAGGAACCATCGTTATAAATATTATTTTTGAGACATATTTGAATTATAAGTGTTAATTAAAAAAGTACACGTATGTAATCATAAATTAATTAATATAAACGAAGATTATTACATTCTCACAATACTGACTGTTATTTATGGTACTACAGAATACTAATGAGTACTACTAATTGTTAAATAATAATTTATTCTAATTACAATCTTTTATTATAAAAACTAGATCATTGAATGATCATATTTAAGATTTATAAATTTTGAAAAAGAAACGTAAGAGGGATAAAATTTCTATGAAAACGTTCGTATAAATATACTCGAGAAAATCAAAATATATATATATATATAACGATCATCATATTACATAAATATACATAATTTAACGTATAAATGAGAAAGATTAAGATTCATTTTCTATACTTATATTAAACTTAATTTTCTTCGTAATATATAGAACAAATTCAGAGATAGAAAGGTATTCAAATATATCCCAGAGAGAAACGTATCTATGAAATATATCCCATCGAATTTTACGATATACCGAAATGAACATGGATAAGAAAGACCACCAAGAAAGAGAAAGAGAAGATGAAGAAACAGGAGGAAAGAGAAAGAGGAGGAGAAGAAGAAGAAGAAGAAGAAGAAGAAGAAGAAGAAGGGAACAAGGAACAGGGTCTGCATTTAATAGCCGTAGTGTTACCTTCGAGGCCTTTTGCCATTAAGAATCCCACAAGACCATCTCAGCTACTCCTTGCCCTTCTCCCTTCTCTCTTTTCTACCCCTTGGTACAACCTCATCCTCCTTCTCGTTCTCCTCCTATTCCTAGTCCCGACATATTACGCTGTGCTTCGGTAACGCGAATGTAATACGTGTTCGTAGCCACCTATAGCTACACACATTGCTCGAAGGTATATCCCGGTACACTAAAATCATTAGAGACACGTGCGCTTCGTAGCGCGCAGAATCCTGTCTCTTGCCATTAGAATGCTTAGATAGTCTCTCTTTCCCTCTCTCTCTCTCTCTCTCTCTCTTTCTCGTTCTCTTTCTCTATCTCATTCTCTCTATTCTATCCGGAAATCAATATCAAAACACAATCTTTTTTATCTTCCTTTTTTTTGTTCTTTGTTTGTATCGATAATTAAAAGATTGTTTGTTAGAGATTAGAAATAAGTACAATTGTTTTTTTAACCTTTTTTTCTATTCTATTTCAGGATTAGTATTACAATTAAACTATTTTATTTTTTTATTTCTTTTATATCTATTAGAAAAGTTAGAAATTAGAGTGGTTATACACTTTTCTCTTTTTCCTTTTTCTTAATTAATTCATAGATTATTTATTATTAAGAGAAAAACTAGTTCTTTTTATTATTTCTTTTACATATTCTTTGAAATTTTGGTAATTTTTTTATCTAGAAGAAATGAATCGTCTAAAATATAAATTAAAAAATGAATAAAATTTTAATTTCTTTTCCATTCTATCTCTGATTTTTACTGAATTTAATATCGATAAAAACTGAACTTTTTAATTTTTATAAATCCGGGATATTAGAAAAATGAATAGATTTTAGATGAACTTCTACTTTTTACTTCAATTTTTTTTATTTGATGTGCACTTGGTAACGTTGCTTGATCTCAATTTATCCATGAGAGACTAGTTTCGACATCGTCGTCGTCGTCGTTCTCGATGCCGCCGATTTACAACGAGTATGTTGATGACGAAAAAGGAAAGAAAGAAAGAACGGGGGAGGTGAAAAAGGGGTAAAGGGTAAGACGGGTAAGGGTACGACGCCTCGCATATACAATTTTCAAGCATATATACACACTTTTCGAAATTACGTTGCCTTTCTTCTTTAGCGGTGAGCGCGTACGTAAGAGGTCGAAAAGAAGGAGAAAGCGGAACGATAAGAAAATAGAAAAAGAACATGAAAAATAAAAAACAAAATAAAAACGGGAGAAAAAGAAAGTGTGTGTGAGTGCATGTAGGGGGAAAATGAGTGAAAATATGTGCGTCGTTGTGGAAAAGGGAAAGAAATAAGATGAGTACGAAGAGAAGTGTAGAGAAGTGTAGAGAAGAAGGACGAAGAAAACGAGCGAACGAGCTTACCAAAGAGAAAGAAGAAAAGGGAAACAAAATGAGAGAAAAAGAGAAAAAATCGTGTGGTTCTTCGTCGCGCTGCTTAAAATTCATAAGGCGCTCTG